GGGCGGGGACAGCCCCGCGGCTTGGGGGCTCCCGGGGTCGCCATGGCAACGCGCCCCCCCGTTCCGACCCATCCCCGCCCGCGTTCTGGAGCCCAGTGGCCCAGGGCTCTGGGCCCGACGGCCTCCAGGGAGCGAGCCCAGGACCGCCCGGATGTCGCCCCGGGGTCGGGGAATGATCGGGGGCGGGCTATGACTTTTCGGGTTTGGGGGTGGCGGAGGGAAGACGTATCTCAGATTCTGGCCTGGGGGCCCGGCGCTGAGGACGGGAGGGGGAGCGACGGCGCGCGAGACCCCGGGGAAGCTCCGCGAGGGGCCTGGGGCGCCCGAGGCCTTTGGGCAGCCGTGTTGTGGGGGAGGGGGAGGAAGAGAGGCAGGAAGGTGTTCAGCCCCGGCGACAAGCCGGGACTGGCCCTTTGCCCGCTCCCCTCCCGCACCGGCGGCCCGGTTTTGGGGGTCGCGTCCCAGCGGGACAGGTACCAGAGCCCAGCCGGGGTGTGGCCGCGGCGTCAACGCCCCTCGTCGTGGGACCGCCCGTGCCCAGCACCGACCTGTCTCCCCGCAGCTGCAAAGTCACCCTTTGAATGATTGTCGCATCCTCGCAGGTTACGAACTGTGATGGGCACAGTTGAGACAAATAAGAATTGCCAAGGATTATGAAACATCAAGTGGTTTCGCTCCCGGAAAAAAAAAAAGCGGGGGAGCCAGACCATGGTGCCGATTTGAAGAAATCATGTCGTGTGTGGACATTTTCCACTAGCCAGTTTGATCATAGCAGTTGTGGCTGTTTGCATTTTAAGTTGCTTAGGATTCAGTGATGGCTTCCTGCCTGCCTAGCTGCCTAAGATCAGAACTAGAAAACTAGATTCTTGGAAACTCTGACCTTTTTGTTCAGTGAAGGAGAAAATGGACACTTTGATCACTTGGACTTGTAAATTTGTCAGAGACTATGAAATGTGTACTAAGTTCTTCATTTTTCTCCCACCTCAATTTTGTCATCTATGCTTGCAGACAATATTCCGGCCAGTCCCAGCGGTAATGAGATGGTGGGGAAGCACCTGCATTTCTAAGTAAACTGAAAATAAATTTGTGAGAAATAAGACAATATTTTTATGAATTGAAAATATTAATTGAAGCCGGCCTCGGTGGCTCAGCCTATAATCCCGCGCCTTTGGGATGCCGAGGTGAGTAGATTGCCTGAGCCCGCGGGTTCGAGACCCGCCTGGGCAACTTGGCGA